GCCCAGTGGATACTTGCCACTTTGGGTGGCAGGTTGTGCTAGGTTTAAAGGGGGGGGGGGGGTTGATGCAGTAGCACTGTTTCGATTTTTCAAAGGTATTTAATTCTCGAGGTCCCGTGCAGCAACCTTCCCCAGTGCAGCTTGGAGCTGAGGCCCGACAATCTCACACCCACACAGTCTAAATTGTACTGATGAAAGGAAGAAACCTTGGGGTGACCAGGCATGGATCTGTGGGTGCAGCAGCTGGGAAATCTGTTCTGAGTTTCTGGTGCTCAGGACAGATTCCTGGTCTCAGACTTCTTTAATTCGGAGTGTCCTTTGCACAAGGTCTCAGTGGATCCTGGCTTTTTAGGGGGAAAAGCAGCACTAGAGTAGATCCTACAAGCCCTGATGCTGGTCCATCTCTCTCTTAGATAATGCAAAACTGAAATTGCACCCGCACATAATATTCATAGGCTAAAGTATAAAAGAGTATCGTACTCTACGGATATCAGAATGCCAGAGATTCAGCCTGGAGATTAAACCACCCTCAACACCTGCAGCTAAGGAGAGAGACGGACAAAAATGGGGGGCAGTCTTTTCCACTTGGATTGCAGTGGTGGGGGACACACTCTGATATGGCACCCCCTCACACTACTTCTTGGAGGAGCCTGTGATCATAATCCTGTTTCCTTTTGTGATTCTCCATACACAAACGTCAGCCTTCCAAACATTTCCCTATTTGCTTGCTTGTTTAATCAAATTAAAAAAAGGGAGATGGAAAGAGAAGCAGTCCAGCTCGGAGAGGTCCCCTCATGTGCAGCGAAGAGAGTTGCTGTGCCCCGTCAGCTCACGCGGCCCGGAGGAAACCGTCCATGGCTTTGAATCCTCCTTGCTTTCTTTGGGGCTGGTGGGCATGTTCTGCGTGGGCGCTGGGCTGGCGCTCGGGAGCACGGCCAGTCTTTCTGCACGTGGACACCCCGACACATGTATGTTGCCTGTGTGTGTGCACTGCGACTTGGAAGCCCCGTGGCTGGATGTGGGGCCTGGGCGACAGAGTGAGAGGGTGGGCGCCCGCGGCCCCAGGGAAACCAGTGGGGCACGGAGGCCTGACGTGACCACCCCTTACATTGCGCAGCCGAGCTGGCGGAGGAGGCAGGAGGGGAAATGCTCCGTCCGAGGGTTGGACTCCAGGTCCTTGGAGCGAATGCCTGCGTCTTCTCCAGTCGCCTGTGCGCCCCCCCCCCCCCCGCTTCGCGCATGGGCCAGCCCTGCGGTGCCTCAGCCGCCCAGAGCACCGAGCTCCTCCCTGTCTTCCCCTCTCCTTGTTCGAGCGTATCGGCTAAATCGAACCACCCGCGTAAAGGTCAGCACTCAGACTCAGCTTATCGCTTCGGAATGGCGGGGGGGCTGGAAAGGGCAGTGTTTTCATGTCTGAGGGCTGCGGCGCTGCTGCCGGTGGAAAGCGCGCATTCCTGCGCTTACATATGGTCTGGTCCGTGCTTGGAGAGCAAGAAGGCTGTGTAACAGAGTAAGAGGAGTCCTGTGCTGCCCGGCCGAAGGCCTCCCTCGTCCAGCCTGTCCCCGCAGCCCCTCACCCGGTACCCCCAGGCAGGCCGCGGCCACCTCTGCCGTGCCCCCCGGCGGATTCTGCCCTGACTCGGGCCTGGCAGAGCCCCCAGCCACCAGGGCTGCCAGCCCCGGCCCGCTTCTCCCCCGTGAACGCTCCCCGCCCCCTTCCAGAGCCTTCCAGCGCCATCCATCGCAAGGTCCCGCGGAAGCACATTCCATGGCTCCCCTTGGGGCTCTGTGCAGGGGGGCTTCCTCCGTTGCCCCCAGCGAGCTTCATGGGAGGACCCTTCAGGTTCGAGTGTCCCGAGCGAGGGAGGAAAACATCTCCCCCCCCCCACACCCCGCACGGCTTCAGGGTGGTGTAGCTCCGCCGTGGGATGCCCGCAGGCCCCGGGACACGGGGAGAAGGCTGCCCGGCATCATCTCAGTGGCCGTCGAGGACTGAGCCTTCCCTTCTGCGTTTCCAGGGCCCGGTGTCCTCCAGATGATTTGGGCCACACCTCCCACCCAGTGGCATGTCCAGTTTGCAGGAGTCATGGGCTTTGTAGTACAAATCACCCACTGTGCAGGTGTTCCCCCAGTCGGCCTTCGAGTGTGGCGGGAAAGCTAATATTGCTGCAGTGCAGGAATCCGCCCTGGATCAGGCACGGGCAAGCGAGCGGTGGCGTTCTGGAGGGCAACGGGTCTTCTGGGCTCGGCCGGTGGGGCTGTCCCCAGCGCGCTGAGCCACGGTGTGGGGCTGTGCTGGCTGGGGGATGCTGGGAGTTGTATTCCAGTGCCTCACGAGGGCAGCAGCTTGAGGAAGGCTGGTCTGGTGACAAGCGTGGAAGCCCGTTGGGAGTGATGAGGAGCTGTCAGGGGCCGGGGATCAGCACAGGCCTCTTGTGTGTGTGAAGGGGAGGTCACAGCGTTGTTCTGTGGAGATCCTTGCCCTTCCCTGTGAGCAGCTGAACCCCATCAGCCACAATGGGCAGATCTCACAAGGCGGCAGCTTTCAATGAGGTTGCAGAAGGCAGTGCAGATGGAGTGCAGCCCAGGTGCTGTGGGGGGCTGGGGCTGGGGCAGCCTCAGACTGCTGCTCTGCAGACCCCTTGCAGCCCCACCAGCCCCTCCTTCTCCACCTTCCCCCCTTATTTATTTAGTTATTTATTTTTCAATTTATATCCTGCCTTTTTCCTGCAAAGGGCTCGAGGCAGCTTACATTTTTCTCCTCCTCCATCTTATTCCCACAACAACAACCCTGTGAGGTAGGTTGGGCTGAGAGTCTGCGACTGGCCCAAAGTCACCCAGTGGGCTCCAAGGGCGAGCGGGGACTCGAACCCAGATCGTCCGAGTCCCAGTCCCACGCTCTTAACCACTGCACCACACTGGCTCTCGGTACCACTTTGCATTCAGTACCCCAGTTTTTATGCGTCGGCTCTCTGAAAATGCCGCCTTCCTGTGCCGCAGCTTCTTGGCTGGAGTGGCAACCCGGTGCAGAGGCGGTGGGACCGGCCATTCGGTGGGCGCCGCCTCTGCCCCAGGATTGCTGGAGTCTGTCTTGACATTCTCCGAAACATCCAAGGGCTCTGGATGCCGGGCATTAATCAAGAGCTCCAGCAGGGCTTTGCCCACAGTCTAAGTTAGGCTGAAGCCCCCCTCCAGGGCGAGGGGAGAAGTTAAGCTAGGGCGGTGGTCCAGAGGGCATGCTTAACTGATCCAGGACCCTGAATTGACCCTTGGGGAGGGGGCGTAACAACGGCCGTGGTTTCGAGGGGGAGCGCCTCGAGAGCCGGCACCTGCCCTCTTGCTCACCACTCTATAAAATGCCTTGCGCTTTGATAGCTCTATAAATAAGCAGTAAGATGCTATAAATAAGCAATTGAGGCTCCCAAGAAAACGCCACCAAAACCGAGACAAGCCCCTGCCACGGGGGGTGCCCAGGTCTTACTCGCGGTGCCTCTTTCATCTTGACAGCAAGTGACCCCTCGGCTGGACGCTGCTGAGGGTCCGCCTCCACGAACTAATGCGGCCAAGGCTTCCGGAGCCTCGGGCCAGTGATCCCGGCCTTCCCACTTCAGAGGCTTGAGCAGACGGCAGATGAATCGGCGGGGGCCGGGGGACACGCAGAATAAAACGTCAGGGCATTTGTTGTAGCCAGACGAGGGCCAGGGGTCCCTCGGCACCCTCTCGACCACATTTCTTGGAGCATCCCAGTAAAGCGAGGATTGGCTTCGGCTGCAGTTATTTCGGGCTGGAACAGTTCAGCCACTCCAGGTCAGGGACTAAAATACAAGCCTTAAAAAAGCAAAATAAGAAGGCAGGCCATCGCGAACTGCAGCTGCAGTCCACATGAGTATTCAGTGGCATGGCTGCCCGGGTATGGATGGGCGGCACACAGGTCGCAGCGGGCAAACTGGCAGACCGGTCGAGTTGGAAGGGGCAAGGAGGCCTTTGCGGCCAGCCTCCTGCTCAGGGCTGGACTCCTTGCAGACAGCTTGCTTGTCCTGCTGCATCCAGAAGGCCTCGTACGGGAGAGCTCCCCGTCTCCTGGGGTCGTGGGGTCTCATTCCTCTGCGTCTTTGTGCTTGGCTCCAAGCATGGAGCTGGTTATCTCAAATCAGTATTTGAACTTCAGTGCCCATCAGCCACAGCCTCCTTGTTCGTTGACTCTGTGGCTCACTGCGTATCCCCCAGGATCTCATAATCATTCCACATAGACCCTTTTCTCTGGCGCCTTTCCGTTTCTCTCCCCTCTTGCACACGTGCGTGTGCTCACACACTTCTCTCTCTCTCTCTCTCTGCATGTTCATGGCTTTCTATTTTATTATTACTATAAATGAAAGAGAAGAAAGGGAGAAGTAACAAGAAAAAGAAAAAGATACCAAGCGTCCTTACCCAAAAAATACATAAAGCACTAAGTGCAAGAAGTTACACAAAAACTCAGTAATTATTATTACTTCTATCAATTTTATAACTACAGTTTTGACTTAATAATACTTGTTTATTACAAAAGAAAAAAAAAACTTTAGCTCAGGTATCAAGGAAATAGAAATTCACTACTAGTAAATAGTAATTCACTTTTATTATTTTTATACATAAAAGAGAAAAAAAGCCAAAAAAGTAACATTAAAAAAAGGAAAAGGTACCAAGTGGCTGTCATTTCACCTGCCCTCAAAGTGAAGATACTGTCAGGCTGCTCTTAATTTAGGCAATTATTCTCTGAATGCAAAATTGTTTTCTGTTCTGTGATTGCATCCCATCCTGTCCGGGAGACTTGGGTAGTTAATTTGATTAGATTCAAGCAGAGACACCAGAACTCACAGAGTGACTGAAATGTACTTGTGAAAATATCTCCGTACTGGCCAAGCCCTACCGGAGCATGTTCGCGGGTGCCCAGGCTTGTCTCTCGGAGGTTTCTTGCTCATTTTCCAGCCAACTCACAGTGGGCACTCTTGGTTTTCTTTTAGTGCAAGAAGAAACACACGCTCGTGTGCCCAGACTTCGCCAAGCGTGGAATCTGCCCAAAGGGCTCCCAGTGCAAGCTGCATCATCCCCAGAGGAGGAATCCGGCCAGGCAGCCTGGCCCCGGGAGCTCCTTCCAGCACGAATGCTCAACACCAAAGCGGGCCCCCCCGGCAGGCCAGATGTTGTGGTAAGCAGCTTAAGTGCCACAGGATCCTGCCAGACGCTGAGGGGGCAGGGGGTCTCCTCCCTCGGGGGCTTTCTATCCCTGGCTGTTGTGTGGGGGCATTTGCTGGGATGGAGGCATTCCGGGGGGGGGGGGGGGCATGCGTGTGACTTGGCGTGTCCAGAGGGACTGTGGCCGGGGGGCATTGCTGAGGGCCCGAACGCGCAACCCTTCCTGGTCCAGAGAGTCCCGTCCGTGGCCGGATGTGGCGTCAGTTCCCACGGGAAGGCCACGTGGAGGGGTGTTCCAGCAGCCAGGGCGAAGCGTGCGCCATCGCTCAGCGAGGGGCAGGCCCGTGTCATGCGAAGGGGACGCTTCTCAGAACTTCGGGGGCAGGCTGGGGGAGCGCTCAGCGCCGGTCCAGACAGTGCTCGCAGTGTGCACCTGCGGTCTGCCCTGTGCTGCTCCGCACAACCTCCCTCTCCAGTTTGAAGTTCGGGTGGTATAATTGAGGGGCCACAAGAGGACAGGCGTGAACGGATCCATGTCTCAGGAGTCACATCGTGAGCTTCAGAACTGCTGACACCATTTACGTTCGCCTAAAGAAGAGGACGGGGAGCCGGCTGCCTTGTCAGGAGGCAGGGAGAGCAACGGAGGCCATTCTTGTTCCCCCGCGAGCGCGTTGGGTGCGGCTTCGTCACTGGGCCGAGGGAGGGATGCTCGGCTTCTCCCCTCCCAGTCCATACGTTGCACACAAGAGTGAGGGGGTGGTCGCCGAGGGGCTCGGGCCTCGTTCCCAGCCAGGCCGTCAGCCTTGGTCTGACCTGTACCACCGCCCTGCCGATTACGGGCAGGAGCACCTGTGCGGAAACGCTTCTCCAGGGCACACAAACAGGACAGTCGCTCTGCACAGGAAGCCAGCGTGTCAGGGAGAAGAACGCTTGCCCAGCCCTCTCCCTGACATGCTAGCTTTCTGTGTGCGGGGTCTGCTTATTTACTGGAGGACCCTTCCCTGCATGAGGCCCTGGTGTCCGCCTGAAGTGGTGTGGCACGGACACTGCTGGCCCTGTGCCGGTGCTGCACTGGTGCCCCCCCCCCCGCCCCCCGCAGCCGCAGGGCCACCTGGGCCGGGTGGCAGCAACCAGGAATGGGCTGCTCGGAAGGGAAGAGCAGAGTGCCGAGAAACCCCGGCCACGCCTGGAATGGGCTTTCTTCCTGGAGCCCGGCAGGTCCATCAGAACTGGGCTGAAGTGCTTAGGCAGGGAAGGGGACTAGCGTGGTGGGATTGGGAGCGACCCCCCCGCCCGGAGGAGCTGGGCAGCGGCACCAGCAGAGGCGCCTTTCAGGCTGCATGCCAGGCCGGAGCCGCCCCAGCCAGGAATCGGCACAAAGCAGCCCCGCAGAGGCCTGGTCCCACGTGCCCTTGGGGCCTGTCGATCACGTCCTTGCCAGGATGCCGCAGGCTGCCTCCCTCCCTGGGCATCCCCCCGCCCAGCCATGCGCCCCAGCCTTGTGAAGTGATGCCTCAGAGCAGAGCAGAGGCTTCCCCTGATCAGAAATGCCCGGCTGTGCCTTCTCCCCCACCCCACCCCCAGCTCCGGAACGGGGCCTGTCCTCACCCTGGGATTCTGCAACCGGTCTGCATCCACAGGACGCGAATTGGAGGTCTTGCCTTCCAGCCTCGAGTCCAGAGAACAGAAGGCACGTGGCGCCGGAGGCCCATGATGCTGAGCCCCTGGGTGTGCAGCAGCCCTGCCAATCCCACCTGCTGCCAGGCCGGGCTCTTGCGGACGGTGCCTCCGTGCGGCGAATCTCTTCGAGGAAGGCCAAGCCAGGCCGGGCCAGCCTTCTGTCCTGTGCCCCCTGCCCAGGCACAGGGAAAGTGACCCCCTCGGCATCACGGATCAGAGCAGGTCTATTTATGTAGGGCTCAGAATAGAAGGGGTGGGCCGTGCTAGGCCCGTCTGCAGCGCTCTGGGCAGAAAGCTCCCCATCATTTGTCCACGCCGGCCTCGGGTCCACGTGTGCCCCCCGGGAGGCGTCCTCCCTCGACCGGGTCGTCTCCCTCAGATCGGCTGCAGGAGGAGGGTGCCACTACCAGAGCGGGCGGATTGCTGGGCACGGAGGCGCGTCTGATGCAGAGGGCCGCCTGTGCCTGGCCTGCGAAGGCTTCCCTCCGAGTGGCTGGCGTGGGGACTGTGGGGGGCTCTGCATGAGGAGCCTGGGGCCACAGTCACAGGAGGCCTTGGGCAAGCTTCCTCTGAGCAGCGAGCCCGGGGCCTTCGGGGCCTGGACGCCCGGGGCCGGCCCTGTGGGTGAGCAAGGGTTGGCGCAGAGATCCCTGCTCTCGTGACCATCGGCCGCCAGTCAGTGGCCGGGACTGGCCTCTGCTGAGCCCGGGAGGCCCCGGGAGGGCTGAGCGAGGACCAGCGCCTCCTCCAGCCTCCCCGATCCGTCAGACGGGGTGTGGGATGCCGCTGCACAAGCTGTGCCGGGAGTGCAGGCCGCGGAAGTCCATGTGCGTGCTTGGGTGTAGATCCCCACTGAACGCAGTGAGGCTTCCTCCTGTGCCAGCTTGACTCGAGGCGGGCCGCACGGGAATGAATGCGGAGGCTGGGCGGGACCGGGGCAGCTTTCCCCTGGCCGAACTCATCAGCCCTCTGTCCCTCCTGCAGGGGATGCCCGGCCTTGACGGTGTAGACGGTGAGACTGGGGCAGAGTGGGACCGTCCCAGTGCCCACGGCCTCTCTCCAGATGGGTGCCCTGGGAGTCTTCCTCAGACCCCTGGCCCTTCCTTGTATGGTCGCGCCTGGAGTGGCAGATACCCTTGTGGGCTCTCCAGAGTTATCCAGGGTGACAGAATAAACTTGGAATGCCACCCGGCTCACATCCCCTGTGTCAATGAGGTGCAAAATACTTCCTTGCTCATTTTAGGTAAGAATGTGAGAGGTGGGGGGAGCCTTCAGGGCAGGAGAGGGGCTCTCGGCCTCTGTCTGGTGGTGCTGACGTTTCAGTCCCCTTTCAGGGAGAGGATGGGGCAGTGAGACGAGGAGAGCTTTTAAATAGCACGCGCCCTCTGTCTTTATTAGTGCTGCCGACAGGGATGTCAAACATGATAAAACATCGCATTAGCTGGATTTGCTCAGAGGCGCAGGCGTCTTTGGGATGGGTCAGGACTAGAGCCAATGTCAGGGAGCTGGGCAGCCAGGGAGGGGCGGTCTCCGGAAGCTGAGCGGGAGCCGGCACCAAGCCCCAGCACGCCCTTTAAGCCCCGGGCTCCATCCAGCAGCGCAGGAGGGCGCAGCAAAGAGGACGCTTCCTCTGTGAACGTGCGGGATGCTTTCTCCTGGCCCTTTGGACTCCTGAGCAGTCCGTCCGGTAGGGAGACCTTTGGATGGCTGGAGAGGAATGGCTGGCCCAAGGAGGCCACGGAGTGATGTGCTTCCGGGGGTGGAGAGTGCCGGACATGGGCCCCGCGTGTGATGCTCCAGCAGGCACCCCCCATGGTGTGCGCTCACGCCCACATTTCCTGGGAGTGGCTCAAGCCCCCCCGCGCCCCCACGCAGTGACAGAAATGCCTTCCTGGGTTGCTCTGTCATTTCCTAAAGATGGTTCACCTGCAGGGGAAATGGTGCTAAAAACACGGTAAACATAGCCAGAAAATTCAATTGTCCAACTGGTCAATTGTCAGGTGAGCCTGTCATTTTCGCCTGCCTTTTGGGTGACCATTTCTCCTTCCAACCCTGTTTCTTGCATACAAAAATACATATACTAAAAGAATAATGTTCAAATATGCTTTATCTTAGGAAAGCTCTTACAAAAGTGCAAGTATTGTGTAAACACGCCAGCTGAAATGCATGAATAAAGATGTGTACAATGCGACTTTTTCTTCCTTTAGCTTTTTAAACAAACTTAAAAGTTTGAGGCAATCCAAAGTTAAAATGGAAAATTTGCCTATATATTACTTCCCTCCTTTTATATGCACAGTCTACTATGGTGAGAGGAGGAGAGTGTCAGAGAAGCCGAGAGCAATGCTGCCAGGAGGCCGGACACGTCTCCTAGCAGGCAGGGAGGCCACAGCGGAGGCGCCAGACTGAGGTGCGCCCGCCTGCTGCAGAAGGAGCAGCCACATCTGCAGACGGGCCGCATCTCACCCGTGGCGACGGGGGCAGAGAACCTGGCAGAGGGCCGCAGTGAGAGCTGCAGGCGATGCTCGTGGAGGAGCTTTCCCAGGCAGAGGCAGCGATGCGCAAGCGGGTGCCCGTTGGCACTGCGCAGAAGGCGGCCACGGCGCACCACTTCGGAACCGTCTCACCTGAAAACCCTTCAAAGAAATGATCCAAAATGAAGCAAGAGACGGTGCTGAAAGAGGAGTCCCCCCAGGCTAGAAGGCACTCTGCAAGCTCCTGGGGAAGAGCAAAGGGCAAGTTCAAATTAAGCGCTCACTAATGCCACAACTAGGTCAAAACCCAAATGCTGACTTGCCGGAGACGGAAGGAGAGTCCAACAGGACACCACACATGCAGCTGGGACTTGGAACGTGAGAGGTACGAATGAAGGCCAGCTGGGGATTGTAAAGCAGGAAATGGAATGGCTGAACTTTGCATTACGCAAACTAACGTGGATTGGAATGGGACATTTCCAGTCAGACAAACAAGTTTTACTCTGGAAGTGACACGCTCAGAAGAAAGGGAGTGGCTCTGATACTAAGACAAAATGAACCATAGGCAGTAGGAGCCTGCTGCACTCCTACCATTCAGAATTCACGGAAAACCTATCAAAAAACCATCACTCAGGTCTACACTCTAACAACAGATGTTGAAGAAGAACTTGAAAACTTTTACGGAGGAGCAAGCTTTTATGTTCAGGAGGAAGCGCCCCAAAACAAAACATGCAGATAATCTTAGGTGGCCGGAATGCGAGTGTAGGAAACCAAGTGGAATCAGTGGTTGTAGGAAAGACCGAGACTGGAACTAAGAAATTAGATGAAGACCGAGACTTGGAAGGGCAGCAGCGAAGGAACTAGAAGATAATTAAGTGTAAGGCTGTTTCATTGGAGACCAAGGCCAAGTTCATCCACACTATTGTATTCCCAATCACTGTTTAAGGATGTGAAAGCTGCACAGTGAAGAAAGTTGACAAGAAGAAAATCGATGCATTCGAAAAGTGGTACTGGAGGGGAGCTTTGCAAATACCTGTACCGGCAGAAAGACAAACCAGTGAGCCCTAGATCAAAGCTTGAGCTTTCCCCAGAAGCGAAAATGCTGAAACTGAGTCTTTTGTCCTTTGGGCACATCATGAGGAGGCCTGACTCCCTGGAGAAGCCCATCATGCTGGGAAAGTGGAAGGCTGGAGAAGAAGAGGAAGGCCGTTTGAGATGGGTGGACTCCATAGTCAATGGAGATGGGTTGCCTCTCCTTGTTTTCCATGATCTTGCTTCTTGCTTCATAAAGAGGAAGGTCAGATCTCTTCTTGCTGATGCCAGAGTGAGGACATGGAATAATCAATTCGAGCTGCAACAACCCAGATTCAGGCTGGACATCAGGAAAAACTTCCTCACGGTCAGAACAATGGGGCAGTGGAACCAGCTGCATGGAGAGGTGGGGGGGCTCTCCCACACTGGAGATATTCAAGGGGAAACTGGGCAACCATCTGAGTGGGATGGTGTAATGTGGTGTCCTACAACAGCAGGAGGTTGGACTTGATGGCCTTCATGGCCCCTTCCAACTCTGCTATCCTGTGAGTCTATGATTCTATGAATTGTTCAGTTGGACCACAAGGAAGGCTGAGCGCCGAAGAATTGAGGCCTTTGAGTTGTGGTGCTGGCGGAGATTCCTGCAAGTCCCTTGGACTGCAAGGCGATCAAACCGGTCAGTCCTAGAGGAGATCAACCCCGACTGCTCTTTAGAAGGCCAGATCCTGAAGATGAAACTCAAATACTTTGGCCACCTAATGAGAAGGAAGGACTCCCTGGAGAAGAGCCTGATGCTGGGAACAATTGACGGGAAAAGAAGAAGGGGGCGGCAGAGGATGAGATGGCTGGATGGAGTCCCTGGGGCAGTCGGCATGAGCTTAGGTGGACTCCGGGGGATGGTGGAGGACAGGAAGGCCTGGAGGAGTGTTGTCCACGGGGTTGCGATGGGTCGGATGCGACTTAGCGACTAACAACAACAACATGAACTGTGCCCACAAGGTTCATAGAAAAACACCCTGGTTGCTCAAAGGAAGCCCGCAGTGTGTTCTTTTATTTTTGCTGCTGCATTGTGTTCTAGCATTTATTGCTGTCACTTTCAGGACAAAAGCATCCAGTGTCAAGAGCAGGACTGAGGGTGAGGAGATGGAAGAAGAAAATGGCAAGATGTAGTAGGGCAAGAAGCGAAGGCGAGCTTCGAATGCCAGCAAGGCGTGGCAGGAGCAGAGGTGCAGGCAAAGGCAGGAGCGAGCAAGGGTCAGATCCTGGCCAGGTGTGGCAGGACGAGGGTCATGAAGCTTCAGGAAACGGAAGAAGACAAGATAGGAGTGAAGTCGTTGCATGGCTGGCGGCAGCGGCTGAATTGGGAGCCCAGAGCCAGGCACCCAGAAGAGCCTTGTTGTTGTGGCAAAGCCGGCAGGACTGAGAAGCCTTTTATGGAGGGCCTTGTAGCTCCCGCACGGTCTGCATGTTTGCAGTGGTCCTGACGCCGCGAGCACTTAGAGAGCTGAGCCAATCCTGCGAGTACTCGCAAGGTGAACTAGGCTGGTTTCCCTGTCAGGCCACCAGGGGGAGCTGCATCACTGCAGGTCCTGAGGGTGGCCAGTTGCTTTGAATGCCTGGGGATGGCGAGAATGGCAGCCCCCCCTCCGGCTCTCTTGCTCCAGCTCCTTCGCAGGGATGGTCCTACTCCAGACCAGGGGTTCTCGCGCTCCGGTTGGGCGGTGGGCACTCCATGCCTTCTCTCACCGATTTCTCACATACTGGGCAGACACTTGTGGTCGTGGACAACAGTGGATGGTCCCCAGAGAGGGCGAGCCAGACGGACGGTGGAGCACTGCAGAGCCGCACTGCATTCATCTGCCAGGGCGGGGCGGGGGCTCCACACCTCGTTGAGTTCCTGCGTGACTTGCGTTGGCTGCCAGGGTGAGAAATCCATAGATCTCTCCCAGCTCCTTCCTTCTCTGGGTTTAACTTGTACCTGCTAATGCTAATGGCCTTTGCAGAGCCCAGCTGTTATCTCTGTCTAGCATTAAAAGCTCTCCATATGTAGCCTCCTTTATCTTTCTGTCTTGCAGGAAACTGGCGAAAGAAGAAACCCCGGGACCTTCGGGAGCAGAGCAGGGCGGGGACATCTGGACCCCCAAGGTCCCTTCGCAGACCAGCCGGCTAACGAAACTGCCATCCTTTATCTCTCTGCAATCTCCCCCCACCTCTCTTGGCGAGGAAGACCACAAGCCCGAGAGAGAGAAGAGTGGGGAGGAAGCAGGTAAGAGCCGGCCCAGGGCTTGGGCGCCTGTCCTGTGTCGCCTCGTCACTTGGCACCTGTGCTTTTGAATTTAATGTGCAGCCCCATGCTTGTTGAGCAAGGAAAAAGTCCCAGATCCCCAGCATGCCCGTGCCCTGGGTGCTGGAGGGGGAGTGCTGGGAAGCTGGGGGACGTTTTCTGGGTGGCCGCGCGCAGCACCGTGGCTTTCCTGGCCTCCCACGCAGCGACTGGATCATGTCAGAAATCCCGGCGTTTAACGGAGGAAAACGCCGCTGCTCCGGGAAACACTCGAGCAAAGAAGCCGACGGGAGGGAAGGAGTGGGGGCCCGGGTCGCCTCATTTCTTCAAGCTGAGCAAATGCGTGGGAAGGGAAGGAGTGGCCCCCCCTGCCCAGGAGGGCCTCCCCCCCGCCCCCCTGGGACGGGCGTTCCTCCCGACGACACTTCCTCCGGATCGCCCGGCTGAGGTTTCACCCTTAGAAACCGCCTTTATCCAACACGCCTCCCTCTCCCCCCCACGTGTGCAGAGCACCCCGAGACTGGTTACTGCCCTGAGCCCTGGGAGACGGCCGGTTGCAAGCTGAGGCCATGCGCAAGGCCTGCCTTGGCACAGAAGAGCCGTGCGGGCCCCCGAGGCTGTGGCTTTCCTCTCCCGTTCCCTTCGCCGCCTCTTCTTCGGGCCCCTGCCGTGAGATCCGTTCCGTGGCCCTGGCTCGGGAAACTCCGCGGGGCTGCAGGACCCCCGGAGACGTGGGACAGCTGCCTGCTTCACCCCACGGTGTTCTGGCGGAGCAGCAGGAATCCTCCAGTGTTTGGGGCAGGGGAGGGGTCTTCCCTCGCCCCCCAGTAGCCGGGGGCCTTTCCCACTGGAGGTGCCAGAGGGGCAGGCCTGGGGCTCTTCAGTGTGCTGTGCTGTGCTCCCCCTGCCCCCAGGGCATTGTGGGGTGGGGTGGGGTGAGCAGATGGGGCAAGGAGAGCTTTGCCGAAGAAGCAAATCTGGCAGGAGGCTGCCCACTTGTCAGAAATGCAGGCGCTGGATGCCAGACCGCCCGGAGGGCCCGTTTCTGCCCCTGCACCGCCACACACAACACCACATCAGCTGAAGGGGCATTTGGGAAAACTCAGTGGGTGGCAGGGCCCTTTGGAAAAGGTTCGGCTCTTCCTTTCAAGCCCCTTCCCTTCCGCCAGCCTCTTCTTCCCTTCCCTTGTCCATATCAGTGGATCTTGGTCTCTGCCCCAGAGGCAGAGCAGTTAAACTGCAGGTCAGGGGACAGAGTTGAAGTGCCAGGAATAATTCATATCAGGTCGGCGTAATTCAAAGCTTGGGTGTGCTGTCCGAAGATAAAAGTACAGGTGCCAGTGGAAAGGACATGTGTCCATGAAGGAGTTCTTCCAGGGATAATTTCAGATTTCTGTGTGAAATAAGCAAAAAAGTAAGCTTCCAGGCCATAAGGTCACGCAGGCAAACAGATGTCGCCCCTGCACCTGCTGAAGTTGGCCTGCTCATGGGGAGTTTGAGCTTAGAGGCAGAAGCCAGCGTGCTGGCACACTGGTTAAATTTGGGCCGTTAACGCTGGCTGCAAAATCTGGCGACAGGAGCCGGATTCTCTCGCCACCGGAAGCAGCTGCGCACGCGGCTTTGGAGCGAGGCCCCGGTGCCCTGTGGCCGTCCGCAGCCGACCGAGTGCGCTCAGGAGCGCGGGGTCTGGCCACACGGGCAGCGCCCTCCCTGCCACCCATGCTTGAGCCTCCCCCCGCCAGGTGTCTTCCAGATGTGCTAACCGCAGCCCCCGCCCCTCCAGCTGGCCTGGGACTGTAGCCCCGCACACCTGGCGGGCACCCGGTCGAGGCGCACCGGTGCGGTGCGTCAGCCCGGGCCTCAGGATCGCTCTTCCGCTGCGGGGCCCCCACGCCCCCCGGGGCATCCCGTGCCATCGGCTCCGGGCTTGCCGCGTCTCCTGCCACGGGAAGCTCCCCGCACCCCACGTGCTCCCTGCCCCCTGCGCTCGAGGGCCCGAGCCTCTTCTGCTGTGGGCTCCCTTCGACCATGACAGGTGCCAGGACGAGGCCACCCGTTGCTTCGGTGACCGCCCACAGGTAATGAATGGCCTCTCCATATTTCACCTCCCAGTTAAATCGCTCATGCCAGAGCGAGCGTTCCTCCCCGTGCTAATTGTAGCCGAGTGCACCAACGCAGGCCCTTCCAATCGAGTGCTAATTTAATTAGAAAGCACCCATTTTAGTTAATTTGTTCGAGAAGATCACTGCGGGCTCCTGGAGAGAACAGATGTTCCCCTCTCCCCCGATGAACATTCTGGGGTTTGTAAATGACTCCACTCAGCCTTGTTTAGGAGAGAAAAGAGGATTTTATGGTGGCAAACGACCCTTTCTGTAAACATTTTACAGCTCTCTGCACGTTTGAGTGAGGATAAACCCCAGCAACTCGGCAGGCTGCAAATTTGCGACCATACGGCTATCATTTTATTGTCATATTTCACGGTCGTAACGTTAATGGAAGATGCTCGCTCCAGTCTTTTTTAACGGCTCCGCTGAGCACGCTCAAAACACTTTCGCTTTGGAAAATTCATTGAGGTGCAGTGCCTCAGTTTTTGTTTACCGCTTCCGATTCTGCCCCTTCCCGGGTCGTGCCCACAGGCCTCGCCCTGGATGCATCCCCCACCCAGTCCGCCTGCGAGCCGGCAGGGAGGTCGGCCAGCCCGGATCAGGCCGCCCCTCCGGCAGCACAAGGCTGCCTCTCCTGCCCCAGCGGAAGCCGCGCGCAAGGAGCACAGCGGGGACCAGCAGCCGGGTGCGAGAAATTAGGGGGCCTAGAAGAAAGTGGAGGTGGAGGCCCAAGGGGCCGAGGCCGTGTGCTGAGTGGCGTGGGATCCTGGGGCAGAACGGCCGGGCCCCTTCCCTGGGAACTGCACTTGGGCTTTGAGGTGGAAGGGGCACATTGCGGAGGAAGGAGGAACGGGACCTGGGGGACCAAGGAGAGGTCCAGGGATGCAGAAGCCCAGGCCGGGGCTTGCCGGACGGTCACACCCTTCCCCCAGCTGCTGCTCCTGGGGCGGTTTCCTGGCTTTTGTGCAGTGTTTCCCCCTATTCCCAAAGGCCAAAATGCCTGCCTAAGGCCGGCCTCCAAGAGCTTTAAACAGGTTGGTGGTGTTGGCATTTTGGTTCTGATCCCTTTGCCTTTGGCCTCCGCCATGGAGCTTTTGCGAGCTCTGCCCCAAATTGGAGATTGAGCCTTCAACACTTGCTGCCCCTGTTTCATTCGCAGGAAAAGCTAGGAGCTTGGTAAGTTCAGAAATGGATGCCACACGCCTCTGAGTGGCTCCGTCTGGATACCCAGCTTCAGCCCCGTGGTGCCAGCGGCAGGAAAGGGGCATCCCAAGGAAGTACAAGCCATTGTCTGAGTCATCCTAGTTTCCCAGCCTTGACTTGCAAAATCTTGCGCATGCCATGAGCGCAAGAGGTGCTCCCAGGACAGCATTCAGGAGTCTCAGTTGCTCTTTGCCATGGGCTGCTGCATAGTCCAGCACCTTTCAACCCGTCCACAAGCAATCTGGAATTGGGCGTGAGCAGCGGAGTGGCCCGGCTTGCTGACGGCACCACGCTGCTCGGGGCGGTTCGGCGAGAGGCGTGGGGAGAGGCTCCCACAGGAGCTCTCCTGCTGGGCCGAGGTGGCATCGCCGTGGCAAGCGCTTGGCCAGGAAGGAGGCCTCGCGCCGGCATGCACACACCCCATGGAAGCACCACCTCAGCGCACTGCCGCTGTGGCAAAGGCCGGTGCCATATTAGGTGCAATTAGGAAAGGGAAGGAGATCGAAACTGCCGGTACCTTTGTGCCCGTGGACAGATCTCTGGCGTGGCTGCTCTCTGATTGCTGTGTGCAGTTCTGGTCACTGCGCCTCAAAGAGGATATTGCAGAATAGGGAGAGGGACAGAAAATGGAGCGACTCCCCAAACGGACACCCAGGATGGTTACACTAAGAAAAAAGGAAAGTCAGGCAAGGAGTAATAGAAATGCTCAAAATTATATGTGTTTAGAAGCAAGTGGATACGGAGACGTTTTCTCCCTCTCCCATGATACCAGAACCGAAGGGCTCCTCCCACCAGGCAAACTGGTGGGGGATTCAGAACAGACGGTGGCGGTCGCTTCCCCAAGATGTAGACAGGGTGGCTGATTCGGGCCGCCTTGGAATGGGGTTGTGCCGATTCCTGGAGGAGCAGGACTGTGCGTGGCTGCAGCCGCGATGGCGGTGCGCCACCTCCAGAGCCAGGGTGGTGCGCCAGTTGCCGGAGCGCACGGGCAGCTGGCTTGCAGCCGTGTGGATGGAACGTGGGGCTGGGGGGGCCCTGGTCTGTCCAGCAGCCCCCCTTTGCACCCCTTTGTTCACAGGGCTCTCCGGGACTAAATCTCTGGGTGGGGAGCCCCTTCCTGTCCCCCGTCCGTGACCAGAGCGAGGTGGCATGGCAGTCGCTAGTCCATCCCCGCCAAGGGCACAGCCAGAGGGTGAATCCGTCAGTTGGTGGCAGGGGCTTCGGGGGGCAGCAGGAAAGGGGGCTGCAGGACGCGAGACGGGGATGCAGAGCCTGGGAAACCTGGAGGGCGATGCGAAGGGCTTGCCCTGCAAGTGGATGGGCAGCTGGTGCAGAGTTGAGGGGGCGCCCCGTGGGACCTGGAGGACCGGGAGAGGAGCTGTTTGTCAGCAGGGGGAGAATCGGGACGGCCGCACGAGATCGCGGAAGCATCCAGGACCTGCCCGTCCCCGCCCCAGGAGCCACCGGGCTGAGCTCCCTTCGCTTCCCTCTGGTCTCTTCCTTTGCCTGCCAGTGGCAGCGGCTGCAGTATCGATTTCTTCCTGCTGCCAAGCCCCCGCATGCTGCTGCTCGGGGAGCGCCTCACAAGGTGGTTTCTGTTATTTCATAGATTTATATCCTGCCTCTTGTAGACAAGTGTGCCAGCTGTGGGAAGTCCCCTAGAGGGCAGGTCTA